CTTCATAGGCTAAACCATAGAGTTTTGAGTGAGCATTTGACCTCCGATTTGGGAGATTTTTATATGGTTAGACTCATGAGAGTACGAGGGTTCTGAAAATGTGAAAATTATTCAACTCCGAGACGTTGGCCTGAAAGACATTTTGGTCATTTCACCTAATTTCACGCTGTAGCTTTGAATTAAATAGCAAAACCAGTTGTTTGCGATGTTATTTACAATGTATAATTGAATTGAATATATTTGGGCCATTTGGAGTCGGATACTCGTGGCAAGGGCGTGGTTTCTAGTTGATATTGAGCCGGTTCGAGGTAAGTGGCTTGTCTAACCTTGTGTGGGGGACCTTTCCCCTTATGATTTGTTATTTGTTATTTTGAGTGCCTTGTACGCGAGGTGACGAGCGCGTACTTGAGCCAATTGTTGAAAATCCTGATTTTACTTAAGATAGTGAGATTGAGTTCCTTTCATATTTACTTTATTCTACTTGCAATTATAACCTGTGCTAGATTAGGAAAGCATGTTTAGTTGATTTAACTTGCCTAATTGCTTAAGTTGCCTTGATTGTACTACGTGAAGCATGCTAGGCCAGTACTACCTATTTGCTTGTCTTTTGTACTTCGTTTCCGTGTGCCTTCTGGTTGTGATTATGCATTTATATTGGGACTACGGATGTGGGATTCCGGTAGCTCCTCCCCCCCCTTGTTTTGTTTACTTTGGGACTACGGGTTCGATTCCCGGTAGATCCCCCTGCACTTTTACTTTAGGACTGCGGGTTAGATTCCCGATAGATCCCCCTGCATATTGATAGTTGGACTACGGGACGGTATCCCGGGAGATCCTTCGGTTTGGCACATGAGTTGGACTACGGGACGGTATCTCGGGTGATCCACTAGACAGTTGAGGAAAGGGCTACAGGACGGTATCCTGGGAGACCCTCATTGTTATCATTGGTATTGAGCTGTAGTCATTCTGTGTTTATTTTGTTCTTTATGTAGTTGTTATTGCCTCGTTGACCTGTCTTATCTCACTGCTGTACTCATTATTACTGTCAGATTTTCATACTGTTGATTATTATTATGTTTTACCTCAGTAGGGCCCTGACCTTCCTCATCACTACCCAACCGAGGTTATGCTTGGCACTTACTGAGTACCGCTGTGTGTACTCATGCCCTTCCTGCGCATGTTTTTCATGTGCAGATCTAGGTAACTCTTCTCAGGCGCAGTATCCTTGAGGCGAGGAGATACACGGAGACTTCGAGGTATATCTGCCGCGTCCGCAGACTAGGAGTCTCTATTCTGTTCCAACTTTAGTATTTAGTTTATCCCTTTTCTCTCAATGGTTTAGATATTCAGGAGTTAGAGCAGCGTACTATGTTTCTGTTAGCCTATGGTTCCCGTGAGTTTTCGGGTTTTGGGATTGAGTTGTGGACTTTCGCACTTCTTTTGAGTTGTATAGGTCGAGGGCCTCATATGCAGTTATTATTTTAAAATGTTTAGCTTTATTTAACCATTTCGCTAGTTAAGTTGTTATTTCCGCATTGATAGGCTTACCTAGTTGTAGGAACTAGGTGCCATCATGACATGTTCATGGAGGGTGAACTGGGGTCGTGACAGCAAGTGGGTTAAATTGGGATTTCTATTTCATTTGTACGGCCTAGAATGCAATTTCAAAAGGAATGTGGGAAAATTGAAATCAAAGGAAGACAAGGAAACATGGAAGATACACAGAAGGTTTGCATTTATGGTTGCTTTTTTGGGGCGTGTAGTTTTTCCGGAAAGGGAAGGACGCATTGACATCCGGTTGGCAGGTGTAGTTGAGGCTCTAACCTTAAAAGGGGATGATTATACTTTGGTCCCTATGATTCTTTCTTCCATTTTTCGTGCTTTAACTGGATGTAAATTGGGCGCACGAAACTTTGATGGCTGCAACATTTTGCTACAAATATGGTTTTTGGAGCATTTTATCGTCATCCTACGATCTCTAATTTTAGTGAGCGCTGGCCCAATCACACTTTTGATCACCAGAAAAGAATTGACAAATGTGACTTACCTGAAGGGATTAACGCCTGGAAAGAACTACTTCTTACTTTGTGTGCCAAACAGATCACATGGAATTACGATTGGTTTTCCTCGAAAGAGGTCATTTGTGAATCTGCATACCATTCTTATTTGGTACTCATAGGATTGGATGGTGTTTAACCTTATGCTCCACTTCGGGTAATGCGCCAGTTTGCACGACGACAGGAGGTGCCACCAACACGAGATATGAGCAAGTTCAGTTATGATTTTGGTAATGATCAACCTCATGACGAAGAGGAAATTATGAAAATTTGGTATGCAAGTAAAGTTTCGGAGTTCAATGAGATGGTAGAGGACCGAGATCGTGGAGAGGTGATCCCTGAATATATTACTTGGTTTCATGATCCTTCGTCGTTTAGAGATAAGCCTGAGGGGTCGAACAGGAGGAGAAATGATCAAAGAACTATAGAAAAGCTGAAAGAGGAATTGGAGCATGCTCAGATGATTATAGCCAAACAACAAGCCCAGCAGCAAGCCGGAGTCGCTCATATTCGTTTAAACATTGAGAAAGATTATCAATCTACCTTGCGGGTCATGGATAAAGATCTAAAGCATGCTAAAAATGAGGCAACCCGCTTAGAAGAAGAACTGGCAAACACGATTAGTTTAGTCAGAAGAGTTGAGGCGAACAAAAATGTTGAAATACATAAGTTGCAAGAAGACTTGAGTATCATTGAAGAGGATGCGCACCAGCAACAACTGGAGTTTGATCAGCAGAAAGAGCAGTTTGAAACAGAAAGGGCCCATTGGATACACTCAAAGAGTCAGCTTTATGCACAATTAGAAGAAATAAAAAGGCAGGAGAGGGGTCATCAGCACATAGATTTTGAGGAAGAGCGGCGTCAGTGGATGATTGAGAGAGGTGTGTTAAACCGTCGCATTGAAGAATATGAGGGACGTCAGGCTCAGATTGGGCACTACCCAAATATGGTTGAAGAATTGTCACGTGAATATGGGGCAAGCTAGAGAGCAGGTACTTCGATTGGCAGAAAAAGCAGCATATGTTCATGATGATCATCGTCGTCTAAATAATGAGGAAGTTGGTCAACAAGCACGTGCCCTCGTTTCGCAGTTGCCGGCGGTGTTTCAGAATTTGTACGAGACTTTGGGGGGACAGTGGAGGCCAAGAGATGCAGACCATTGATGATATCAGTTTAAGCAAGAAGGCCATTGAAGATTAAATTTTTAGTGCAGTCCATTAGTTCTTAGTTTCATTTTTTATTTGTTGCATTTTTTAATTTTATATTTGGAGACTTTTATTATTATCAAAGTTTATTTTATCCCAGTCATGTTTATGTTTTTAGAGTCAGTAGAGTCAGTTTGTATATATTTCCTTTTCTCTCATTCTATATAAAAAAAATTGACTGAAAATGAATGAAAAATATTTTAGTTTGTTTTATTTTCTTTTTTTTAAAAAAAATTATTATTCCTGAACTACGTAATGGTCTGATTCATGCGGCGTCATGATACGTAGGCAATCCCCATCGGATGCGATCATAGCCATAATTAATCTGGAAAATAAAAATAGAAAGAAAAACAACATAAAAAAAGTAGCAAGTTCAAAAGGAAATAAAATCAACAAGCCGGGATGAAGCATGAAGCCTTCCAAAATCATTTTAGAAATGAAAATGGTATTAGGTGCATGGCATACAATGTGTGATTAATATCTGCAAAATGCCTAACTCTAACACATTTGTTGTTTGTCATTTCAAAGAGATAAAGTTAAACAGAGGTGGTTGGTTTGTGGTTTAAACTGGCGACTCACCCTTACAACACGAGATCAAAAGGAAAAAGTAGAATGGCAAACAACAGTGAGAATGAATCAGATAATGATGATGTCCATGGACAATTGGTCGAACAAGGTTCGGGACTGGTTGAAGAAGTAGGAATGTTGAAACAACAATTGGAAGAGATGTACCAAGCTTGGGTGAATGGGCAGGCACCGCCATCACTACCCATAGGGCCCTCGGATAATCTTCATAATGTGTCAGTCGCAAATCAATTGCCCATCTCCATAACAAGTAACCCATTGTACTAACCTGGTTTCAGTCCGAGCATTAACCTTCCCACTATCCCCAGTACCTCCATTCCACGTCCTCCAACCGCACCCCTCAGAAATGACCTACCTACTGTACCCATTATCCCTACTTCCACTATTCCTCAACTGGCTCCCGCTCAAAAGCTCAATAATGATCCACAACTGAATGCTCATGATGCCCAACATTACTCTCCAAAATTGACTTTCAAGGTTCCAGATTCATACAAGCATACTCCTCAAAACGTATTCCCAATTGAGATCGAAAAGCCCGACAAGAATATAAAACAAGAGGAAATGACCAGAAAAATGAAGTGCTTGGAACAAACCATGATAAACATACAGGGTTTGGGAGGCCACAAGAGTGTTTCGTTTAACGATCTGTGCATGTTCTCCCATGTTCATTTGCCACCTGGCTTCAAGACCCCCAAGTTTGACAAGTATGACGGGCATGGTGATCCCGCTGCTCATTTGAAGAGGTATTGTAACCAATTGACGGGAGTGGGAGGCAAAGAAGAATTACTCATGGCTTATTTTTGGGAAAGTCTGACAGGAATTGCTTCAGAGTGGTTCATAGATCAAGACATCTCTCACTGGCACGTTTGGAACGACATGGCTCAAGATTTTGTCCAACAATTTCAGTACAATATTGATATAGTGCCAGACCGCTCCTCTCTTGTCAACATAAAGAAGAAACCAGCAGAAAGCTTCAGAGAATATGCAATCAAGTGGAGAGAGCAGGCTGCTAGGGTCAAACCACCAATGAAAGAGGCAGAAATGATTGACTACTTTCTCCAAGCTCAGGATCCTGATTACCTCCATTATATGTTGGCCGCCATTGGTACCTTTTGCTGAGGCGATTAAGATTGGGGAAATAGTTGAGAATGGCATGAAGTCGGGCAAAATTGTGAGTCAGGCAGCCCTTAAGTCGACCACGCAAGCAATTCAAAGTGGGTCAGGCAGTTTCGGAAATTGGAAAAAGAAGGAGGAAGGATCCATGATGGCATCTGGGTTCGGGGGAGTTCAAAGAGGAATAGTTCCTTCGTACGTACAATTCCAACAAGGACAATCCAATTCTCCTCAACATTATTATCCGCCTCAGGGTCCCCGGTACTCAGTGACCTCGCGACAGTATACAGTGTTTAATGCTCAGCCTTATGCTAGGCCTCCCAATCACCAACAATGGCGAGCACCGACTCCACAAGGCTCGCATCAATTCCGCCCAAATTTTCAGGCGCCATACAATCCTCGTCCCAGACAGGAATATGTGAGAGAACAAGAGCTAAAGAAAGAGTTCACCCCAATTGGAGAATCGTATACAAGCCTATTTCAAAAGTTGATACAGCTGAAGTTGATCGAACCTATCATGCCGCATTATATGAATCCAAATTCAAAAGGTTTTTACTCCAATGCGAGATGTGAGTATCACTCTAACACCCAAGGTCATAGCACCGAGAATTGTTGGACATTAAAGAAAGCCATTGAAAATTTGATCGAAGCAAAGGCAATTGTGGTAGCAAACAATGAAGATACTCCTAATATCACAAACAATCTGCTCCCAGCTCATGATAATACACATTTTATTAGGATGATTTGTGATGATTGGGATTATAAGCAGTCTGCCAAGACAGAGATGATTGATGGAACCATAGGGCAAGAGCCAAAAGTGATAGTAAGCCCGCCACAATCAGCACCGTTGATTGTGAAAGGTGCGGGTTCTAGTTCAAACTCGGCAGGTTCTGAAAAACCGGTTCTCTATGTCCCTGGAAGCACGAAAAAGATTGGGGTTCAATTGGGTGGTCCAAAACTTTACATCCTTGGGGGCATTCAAAAGATTTTTCCGAATAATGCTTTGAGAAATATAACAGAGCCAGTTGTGATCCGACCTGTTGCACAACTCCTAGTGTCAAACACAAAAGCTATTCCCTGGAATTATAACAAGACTGTCATGACATATAAAGGAAAAGAGATAGTGGAAGAAACAGATGAAATGGGGGGCTTGACCCGCTCTGGAAGGTGCTACTCACCAGAGGAATTAAGAAAAGCTAAGCAAGCCAAGGAAAATCACTTTCCAGTGAAAGAACCCATTTCAGAAAAAGAAGCGGAGGAATTTCTTAAGAAGATGAAAATGCAAGACTACTCAATCATTGATCAACTAAGGAAAACCCCCGCTCAGATATCTTTGTTATCTCTGCTTTTGCACTCTAAAGAACATTGCCGTGTGTTGATCCAAACTTTGAACGAGGCATATGTCTCAGAAACGACAACGGTGAATCAGCTAGAAAAAATGGCTGAAAGATTCTTTGAGGTGCACAAAATCTCTTTCAGCGATGATGATTTGCCTGAGGAAGGGGCTGGGCACAATAAAGCTTTGCATCTTATGGTCAAATGTGAAGGGCATTACGTAAAAGGAGTCATGATTGATGGAGGCTCAAGTGTAGATGTATGCCCTCTTTCTATTCTACAACAACTGAACATTGACACTAACAAAATTCGAACTAGTAGTGTCAGCATCAGGGCTTTTGATGGTTCAAAAAGAGACACTACTGGGGAAATCGAGCTCACCATGACAATTGGCCCGGTTGATTTCAACATCGTCTTTCAAGTGTTGGATATGAAAACTTCTTATAATTTTCTTCTGGGAAGGCCGTGGATCCATATGGCCAGAGCTATACCATCCACCCTACATCAAATGGTCAAATTCGAGTATGACAGGCAAGAAATTATTGTTCATGGGGAGGATGACTCATCCGTCTATAATGACCCGTCCATTCCATGTATCGAGGCCAAGGAAGGATGTGAATCCCTAATACACCAAACATTTGAGGTGATTGAGGTAGACCAAGTGGAAGAAGGAAAACCAATTCTACATCCCCATCTTTCAGCCACATCTATGATGGTAGCTTCACTAATGTTGACGAACGGCTATGAACCAGGAAAAGGATTAGGATCTTTTCTACAAGGAATTGTGAACCCCATTGCTCCCTTTCCGAAGAAAGATACCTTTGGCTTGGGTTTTATACCAACATCAGCTGACATAAACAGAGCCAAGGCCCGCAAAAAGAATGGTTGGAAATTGTCAAACAATCCCTCACATTGCCTACTCTTTTGTCAAGCCACAATTTGAAGAAGTCCAAAATCCTTCTACTCAGGATGACATTGATGAAGTTTGCTAGGGTCTCAAGGAGATGTTCTATGGGATCAATATGGTTCAAGCTGGTGAGGGCCCTAACCGTGCAAGTGTTCAGCTGATTGGTCCAGATACCTCACTCAACAACTGGGAAGCAATCCTCTTCCCATCAGGAAGGAGTCTTGGTAGTCTGTTTTGTTGCTTTTTCGGTATTTGGATTATTTTCAGGGTTGTAATCCAGATATTTTAGTTTAATTGCTTTGCTTTGATGTTAACCCTTCTATCCTTTCAAATTCAATGAAATGAAGTTCCAGTTTCATAGTAGAATTTTATCTTTTCCTTTCCCTAATTCTTGTTACTTTCTTATCATTTTCAGTTTTGTTAATGCTGGCTTTAAAAACATGACATGCACGCGGAATTCATGCCCAAATCTTAAAAAGTTGTCTAATCTCGAAATAATGAATCAAAAAGTTGAGTATGATGAAGATGAGGATTTTAAGGAAATAAAAAGAGAATTGGATCAATTTGAGAATAAGCCTAAGCCTAACTTAAATGAAACTGAGGCAATTAACCTGGGAGGTCCTGAAGAAACCAGAGAAACAAAAATAAGCATTCATACTGAAAGAAAGACGAGAGATGCTATAATTCATGTTTTGTTCGAGTATAGAGATGTATTTTCTTAGTCGTATGATGACATGCCGGGTTTGAGTGCTGATTTAGTGGTCTGTAAGCTTCCCGCAACAAAAACAAAGGAAGTTTAAGATAGACATGAGTGATAAGATTAAAAAAGAAATCACCAAACAACTAAGTGCAAATGTGATCAGGGTCGTCAGATATACCACATGGTTAGCAAATGTTCTGCCAGTGCCAAAGAAGGACGGGAAAATTAGAGTTTGTGTTGACTATAGGGATTTAAATAAAGCAAGTCCAAAAGACAACTTTCCTTTACCCAACATTCATATCCTTGTGGACAATTGTGCTAAACATGAGATCCAATCTTTTGTGGATTGTTATGTCGGGTATCACCAAATTCCGATGGATGAAGAAGATGCAGAAAAGACCACCTTCACCACTCCATGGGGAACTTATTGTTATAGGGTCATGCCATTTGGTTTGAAGAATGCACGAGCAACTTACATGAGGGCCATGACTACCATATTCCATGACATGATGCACAATGAGATTGAGGTGTATATTGATGATGTGATCATTAAGTCTAGAACACAAGATGATCATGTGCAAGACTTGAAAAAGTTCTTTGAAAGGCTACGAAGGTACAATCTCAAACTCAATCCAGCCAAATGTGCATTTGGAGTTCCTTCTGGGAAGCTTTTGGGTTTTATAGTTAGTCGAAGAGGCATTGAGTTAGATCCCTCCAAGATAAAGACCATTCGAGAGCTGCCTCCCCCGAAGAATACAAAAGAAGTCATGAGTTTGCTTGGGAGGTTGAACTACATCAGCAGGTTCATTGCGCAGCTTACAACCACATGTGAGCCTATATTCAAGTTGTTGAAAAAGAACGCCGCTATCAAGTGGACAGATGAGTGCCAAGAAGCTTTTAATAAGATCAAGGAATATTTGTCAAATCCCCCTGTTTTGGTCCCGCCAGAACCTGGTAGGCCTCTATTTTTATATCTGTCAGTAACGGATAGTTCTTTTTGTTGTGTTCTGGGTCAACATGATGCCACAGGCAGAAAGGAACAAGCAATATATTATTTGAGCAAAAAGTTCACCACTTATGAGGCCAAATACACTCTTTTGGAAAGGACATGTTGTGCCTTAGCCTGGGTCGCTCAGAAGCTTAGGCATTATCTTTTGGCCTATACAACTTACCTCATATCCCGAATGGATCCCCTAAAGTACATTTTTCAGAAGCCTATGCCCACTGGCTGATTGGCAAAGTGGCAAATCTTGCTCACAGAGTTTGATATTGTTTATGTCACTCGTACAGCCATGAAGGCACAATCTTTAGCTGATTATTTGGTAGAAAATCCGGTTGACGATGAGTATGAATCTTTGAACACATACTTCCCAGATGAAGAGGTTAATTTAGTTGAAGAAGTAGCCCAAGATGACAGTCAAATTTGGAAACTATACTTTGATGGGGCTGTCAACATTAAAGGCGTAGGGATTGGGGCAATTCTCGTATCACCTATTGGGCAACATTACCCTGCCACAGCACGACTTCGTTTCTTCTGTACAAACAACACGGCAGAATATGAAGCTTGCATCATGGGTCTGAACATGGCAATAAACCTAAATGTGCATGAAATGTTGGTGATGGGAGATTCAGATTTGCTTATTCGGCAGGCTCAAGGTGATTGGGAGACTCGAGACATCAAGCTCATTCCATATAAACAATGTGTGGAAGATCTTAGCAAGAGATTCAAGTCCATCGAGTTCAGGTACATTCCCAGGTTTCACAATGAATTAGCTGATGCCTTGGCCACCCTGGCCTCAATGCTTCCATATCCGGGTAATACTCACATTGACCCATTAGAAATTTAAATTCGGGATCAACATGGTTATTGCAATACAATTGAAGCAGAACTAGATGGTGAACCATGGTACCGTGATATTAAACAGTTTTTGAAAATAAGAGAATATCCGGAACATGCTAATAGGGATCAAACGAGAACTATTAGGCGACTCTCTAATGGTTTCTTTTTGAGTGGGGAAATCCTATACAAAAGAACCCCGTTTTTGAATTTATTGAGATGTGTGGATGCCAAAGAAGCTAAAATGATTATGAATGAGGTGCATTCGGGAGTTTGTGGTCCGCACATGAATGGATATGTTCTAGCAAAAAAGATCCTTCAGGCGGGATATTATTGGCTTACTATGGAGCGAGATTGCTTTCGTTTTGTTCGCAAGTGCCACCAGTGTCAGATTCACAGTGATTTGATTCACTCGCCTCCTTCAGAGTTGTATCCTATGTCGGCTCCTTGGCCTTTTGTTTCTTGGGGAATGGACGTCATTGGCCCAATCGTGCCAAAAGTTTCAAATGGGCACACATTCATATTAGTTGCAATTGATTACTTCACCAAATGGGTGGAAGCTATTACATTAAAAGCAGTTACCAAGAAAGCAGTAGTAGACTTTGTTCACTCCAACATCATCTGTCGTTTCGGTATTCCAAAAACCATTATTACAGATAATGCTGCTAATTTGAATAGTCATCTGATGAAGGAGGTATGTGAACAATTTAAAATTGAGCATCGCCATTCTACTCCTTACCGACCCAAAGCTAATGGAGCTGTTGAAGCTGCAAATAAGAACATCAAGAAGATTCTTAGGAAGATGGTCCAAGGGTCTAGACAATGGCACGAGAAATTGCCTTTTGCTCTTTTGGGATATCGGACAACTGTCCGTACATCAGTTGGCGCAACGCCTTACTTGTTAGTTTATGGAACTGAAGCAGTCATACCTGCTGAAGTTGAGATTCCCTCTCTTCGAATAATTGTTGAAGCTGGGATTGAAGACACTAAATGGGTGAAGTCACGATTGGAACAGTTGAGTTTGATTGATGAAAAACGTTTAGCGGCAGTTTGTTTTGGTCAGTTATACCAACAAAGAATGGCACGCGCTTACAATAAGAAAGTGCGCCCAAAAAAATTTGAGGTAGGACAGCTTATTTTGAAACGCATCTTTCCACACCAAGAAGAAGCAAAAGGAAAGTTCACTCCGAATTGGTAAGGTCCTTACCTCGTCAAGAAAGTATTGTCGAAAGGAGCTCTACACTTGGCAGATATAGAAGGAAAGGTGACAGACATATCCGTCAATGCACATGCGGTCAAGAGATACTATGTCTGACATGCTTCTGTTGGGGCATTTGGTTTATACTTAGCATTCTCAGGTTGGGATGACGAAAGGCTATCATTATCGCTACCCAAACATTGGTCAACCCTAGTTAGCCCTTTGAAGCCTTGTTTATATTTCTTTGTTTTACCTTCTTTTGGAACCAATGTAAAAAAAAAGTCATCAAAACAAGTTCATGTTCTCTGAACTACATTCGACTTGATTCCGAAAGGATACATAGGAGAAAAACAAAGAGAGAGTCTTATCGATGAAAACCCTCAAGGGCACTATAAGGCGATGGCGAGTTGAGAAAAACAAATGAGAGAGTCTTATTGGTGAAAACCCTCACGGGCACTATAAGGCGATGTTGAGTTGAGAAAAAGGCAAATGAGAGAGGTCAATTGGTGAAAACCCAAAGGGCATCGTTGATCGATTTTAGGTCTTCTTATATCCCGGCACAAGCATGGTTAAAGAACTCAGTTTCAAAGTAAAGTTTACAACAGATTTTGAGAATTAGACGTGTTAGACGGATCGGGCATCCAGTCCAAAGTGCATGTCATGTTCATTGAAGTCAACATATTCCTCCAAATAAGTCCTTTCTTATTCTTCCCTGAAAGGGATGCTTCTTGATTAAGTTGTAATGCTTATTAGTTCACCTACTTGTTTTCTTTCGTACTATTATTTTTTAAGTCCCTTTCAGTTTAATTTTGTCAAAGCAAAGCAAAGAAAAGGCCACAAAATTGGTTACAGTTTCCCCGTTATATGAAGCAAAAATTTCTGAGCATAAACAGTATGGGCAAAGCCATAAAGCCGACTTTGATATTCCTTGTCAAGCAAAAGGCTTGAAGGACTTAGCAATGTTTCCAGGGTCAACAAAAGTTACTCATCAAAAGTTGTTTTGGGGAGCAAGGTTGTTTGCACCATAGACACAAATGGTGATAGGCGCAAAATAGTCAGGTGTTGATATTGAGAAAGAAGATCTTCAGAGAGTAAAGTCAGAATCTCCCGGCAATTTGTACGATCCTCGACATGGTCGATTTTTCTAACAAGTGTAATGGACGCAAGTTCAAGTCGCCCAAGAAATCAAGGCCACAAACTGACCACCATTTTAAAACTAACGAATCTTTCTTTGTTTAGAACAGGAACAGAATAGTTTAGTGAAACAGTTCGTGGAAAGACGAACACCACCAAGTGAAGTT